CTCTTCTAACGTCATCCTTACAACATGTTGTTAAGGTGTTTACTTCATAAACTCCATAGTTTGCTTCATCATCATCGTACAACAGTAAGGTGTATAGATCCCATCAGCAAACGTCCTGGATTCAAATCTCAGGTGTGCCTATAATGAGCTGTGTGACCCTATGCCAGTTAGTGAATGCCTCTGTGCCTCAGCTTTCTCATTTATATAAATGGGGTGCTAATAACAGAATTTATCTCGTAGAGTAGTTGTGAGGTTTCAACGAGTTAATTATTTGCCAAATACCTAGAACAATGACTAGCCCGTCGTAAGTGCTGAGTCCATGTTTTATACAGAATACAGTGAAGTGGATTTACTTATCTTTTTTATCTTGTTGAACTGTATTAGCCACCCTAAAATTTTCTAGAACAAAATGAGAGAGTGCACAGTATCTGAGAGTACAGGGTTTGGAGCCCAAGAAACCAGTGATTTAATCCCAAATTGTGACTTTTATCAGCTCTGAGAATATAAATAAATCTTAAGTGCTTTGAAACTTGGAATCCTCCTCTGTAAAATGAGACTAATAACAGTACCTAACTCCTAGAGAATTGTTGTAAGAACTAATTAAGTGATCGGATGCAAAGGACTTAGGTCAGTGCAGAGTAAACACTCAAACAATACCTCTGAGAGTAATTGACAATTGTGAAACAATTGTTGGCGGTATTAAGCAAACACATAAATCCTGTGCCAAGAATGGTGGAACCGAAGTGGCTTTAGAAATAAAAGTGCGTTGGGGCGCGTGGGTGGTTCAGCTGGTTAAGCGGCTGCCTTCGGCTCAGGTCATGATCCTGGAGTCCCGGGATCGAGTCCCGCATCGGGCTCCCTGCTCGGCAGGGAGTCTGCTTCTCCCTCTGACCCTCCTCCCTCTCATGCTCTTTGTCTCTCATTCTCTCTCTCTCAAATAAATAAATAAAATCTTAAAAAAAAAAAAAAAGAAATAAAAGTGCGTTGACTTTTCGACCTGGTAGGAAAACTTGGGATCTATAATGGTGTCAAGCCCGGCATCTCAGTAAGTGTGCCCTCATCCGCGTGGTGAGGGAATTGCACAAACGGTCTTGCAGATGTTAAGGCACAAACATGTGCCCTTAAACTCCAGATGAAATTCCATGGAAGTTGACCTTCAGATATGTTTTCTCTCATTCAGGTCTCTGTTATCCCCTGTGTGCAAAAAGATTGATCATAAAACAGAAAATGTCATTTAAGAAGCTTCAGGGTTGAAATAGTAGAAGCAGAGCCAAGCTTAGTGGTAATCATCAGAATCTTGTCTATCAAAGTAGAAAAACCAACCCTCCAGATTGAAATAAGAAGCTGTCCTTCCAGTGCCAAACTCATCAGGGCAGAGCATTGGATGTATGAGAATCCTGCCAGGGTGGGATTGGTCTATCCTGCCGCAAAGCATATGCCATAATCTCTGGATGAGCCGAGGCTACTTTAAGCTGCTCTGGCCACAGTTTTTTAGCCATGTTGTTCTTAATGCAGCTGTGAGAACCTTTTGTAACCAAAATAAGTTCTTTATTTGCTTGGGGATCAAGCAGACAAAGATTAGAATAATGTTTCCTAAACCAGGCCCTGGCACACCTTGCTACTCAAAATGCTGTTCCTGGCCCAGCAGCATGCTCAAACAAACATTAATATTAAAAAAAAAAATACAAAGTTTTCTTAAAAAATACGTGGATTCTGAGTCCAAAGATCTGGTGTGGAGCTTAAAGTCCTACATTTCTACCAAACTTTCCATCAGTGCTGTAAGTCTACTCTAAAACCTTGCTGCTCCTAGCATGGTTCAGCAGACTTCACTTGGGATGCACATTCTCTGTCCCCTCTCCAGACTTCCTGAATCATCATCTGCATTTCAGCAAGACCCTCCACTCCCTCCTGCCCCCAGCAGTTTCTATGTACATGAAAGATTCAGAAGCACTGCTCTAGAACATATGGGAATCCATTCCCTCAAGGCTTTGGTTGCACAATGTACCCAAAAGTCCTGAGATATGGTATCCTGCTATAGTAAACTCTAGAGGGCTCTGCCTGTGTCCCTTCCAGTCCTTTTCCACTTTCATACACAATGCTTTCACTTCCAACAGCCAGGACCCTTGTCTCTTTGGTGGCTGCTCCCTCTGGATCTGGAACCCCCTTTGCCTACTATCAAAGAAACCAGGAAGTGCCTGGGGATTCCATCCCCTCCACTAGCCCTTAACCAAGAATAACAGGCACAGGCATTACCACACTCCAGCTCCCTTGTTCTTCATCAAAAACTCAACTTTGATGTGTGGTCTATATCAGGATGGAGAAAGCCAAAGTTACCATCTGCCTTCTTCCTTCTTCCTTCAACCTTTCTACCCCCAATCCTGCTCAGTCCCCTATAAAGGTGCCAGAAAACCCTTCATAATAAACCCTTCTTCATAAATCCTTGTCTCAGGGTCTGCTCCTGGGGAAACCAAAGTAAGACACATGTTGTTTTAGCTCAATGTGATATAGACTGAGACCAGTACCCAAGCAAGAGTAGGGTGATTTCTAAAGTTCCCTTGGTCATTGCATTAGTCCCTGAATCTTTGATGTAGCCTGGGTCAGATCTTTTGAACATCTCAAAAGGCTGCAGGAAGCCAGTGAATTCTAGGAATTCCACACTTGGAAATTTAGATGCTCACATTCTGAGAATGTGATGAAAATAAATTACACTTGACTTGCTGAATGAGCTAACTGTGGCTATGTGGTAAAGGTGGTGATGATGCTGTCCTTCAACTGGTTTGATAAAGGACCCATAAAAAGAGCTAAGGATCTAGAAGACCTGACCAAATGCTGCAGCCACAGCCACCAGCTACCTGTGGCTAACTGAGTACCTGGAAGGTTGCCAAAGCCAACTGAGATGGGCTGTAAGTGTAAAACCCATACCTCACTTTAAAGACTAGGCACTGGTGGTGGGTGTTGAGGAGGGCACATTCTGCATGGAACACTGGGTGTTATGCACAAACAATGAATCATGGAACACTTCATCTAGAACTAATGATGTAATGTATGGGGATAAAAAAATAAATAAAAAAAAATAAAGACTAGGCACATAAAAAGAATACAAAATATCTCAATTTTATGTTGAGTACATGATTAGTAATGTTTATGAAATATTAGCTAAAAATATATATATATTAAAACTAGTTTCACCTGTTTACTTCTACTTTTTTAATGTGGCTACTAGAAATTTTTAAATTATATATGTAGCTCACATGGTATTTCTATTGGGCTGGGTATAATAGAGACCTTACCTTTTGACCTGAAAGGTCAGACCCAGTTTAAATTTCCCCAACTCTTCATAATGCCTTCACTGTACCTATTTCAGGTGTGGAATTGACCCCCAGTAAACATACAAAATGGTAAAGTTCCCATCGAGGTAGGAATGTCTAAAGTTTGACCCTTAGCTCAGAAACTATTATACCAGAAACATACTATAAAAACCAGAGCTAGTAGTTAGTCTTAGTTTAAAATGATCAGACTTGAGGAAATTTATTTTAAAGCTGTTAAAAAGTTATTCCAATGCTTTTGTGCTCATACATAAAGTGTGGTGGTCAGTTCTTTTGCTTCACTCACAATTACTCTGTGCTGTGATCTTCCAAGCCCTCCACCAATAGTGTATAGAGGTCAAGGCCCCCAAAATTTTCTCCTAAACTGGGACAGCTTCTTAACTGAGTTCCTTCTTTTTGGTTTCTCAGCTTCAACTCCATCCTCCAAATGGCCACCAGATAATCTCCCTACACACAATCTGGCCTCAGCTCTCCTCATCTCTCACCCAAAAATGGGCCTTCAGTAATTTCACATTTCTTGCTAAATTATCTCCAGATACCTCAACAGACTTAAATGCTCTCCATACTCTGCCCCCAACTCTACTTTTCTCATTGCAACTCACCTTCTTTTTTCCAATTCCTATTAAACTCCTCCCCATTCCCTCTGAGTCCTACTCTGTGTGCTTACCTCTGGTTTTTCTCCCAGTTTTCTTTGCTTAGAATTCCCTCTTCCCTCCTTCAGCACTCTATACCCCAAGTCCTACCTCAAATGTCACTGTGTTACATGATGGTATATTATCAGTGCCTTAAGTCAGGAGGCAAAACACAGAAGGCCAACAAAACAACAGCAGAAATAATACAATGAGATGGAAAAGCTGTTGAATTAAAAAACATGGTTTCTTAGCTCTCTTGTCTTCTCTTAAAGAATGGGGGGGGGCAAGACATTAATTTTGTGTTCAAAACCATCACTCAAAATGGAACTTCAACTTTTTGTGTGGATTTGCTCTTTTCCATTTTCTTGGAAGCCAAGTGAGATCACTGGTGAGTGGTTTGAGGTAGGGATTAAGATTAGGGGAGTAGTGAGGGACTGACAGAATTGGGAGAGTGTGACATTGTGACTGCAAATGGTTTCAAGAACTTCTAGAACTGTAATTAATATTTAAAGGTTCCCTGGTATAGCTGCTTTGGCTTGAGTAGTAAAGCAGGAAGATTACATCTGCAGGTGTACTGAAAATATATTTGACTGTATTTTCAACTTTTCTATAACTCTTTATTTATAATGCTAGGAAAGTAGTAAAAAATACTTGTTTACTGAAAGGCAATCTGCCAGTTCCCTATAAATAAGGATTTTTAAAAGCAGACAAAATTTTGTTTATGTGTAAAGAACATTTCCTTAGAAAGGAGCAGTAACTCGGGGACTTGAATTTAATTATGTCATTTTTACAAAAGAAAGAAAGAAAGATCGAGGGAGGGAGGGAAAGAAGGAAGAAAGGAAGAGAGGGAAGGAGAGAGAGAGAGAGAAAGAAAGAAAGAAAAAAGAAAGAGAAAAAAAGAAAGAAAAAGAAAAGAAAGACAAAAAAATCCCTTAGGCATACAAATTGAACTAATTTGCCCTTCCTGGTAGCCTAGCTAAAAACATGTGTCTAATGACTGGAGAGTATTTAAGCTAATGCAAGTGTGATTTACATCTTTCAGGAATGGACAAATGAGGTTTTCAGTTTGGCAACAAACCTGCTGGCCCAAAACATGTCAAGAGACGCATTTCTGGAAAAAGCGTAAGTAGCTCTAATTTTATTACTAAGGGTGTTGCTTCTTCTGAGTCAGTTTCCTTTCTCCTTTGTGAGTCTTTTGTTTATGCTGCACCGGCTTCGCACATTGATAAACATAAACTTCCCTTTGGGATTTGTTAGAGAACTGATACCTCCACTGTTTGGAATTGGAAAACTTTCAAGACAGATCGCTCTTTTCCTCCGAGCTGCACATCCGTGTTAGGCTGAGCTCCTCTGAATGTCAGTGTCTTTGACACACTATAAGGAGACACGTCCAAATCCCGGCAGCTGTGCTCAGAACCAAAAATTATTAATTTCAGAGAGCCCTTTGCTTCTACATAGGCCTGTGTCATATCAATTATTAATCTGACAAAGGGAAAGAAGAACATACGGTACTCATTTCTCTCCAGTCTTAGATCTCTGATAGATGCTATAATAACTTCCCTGCCTGCTTAAATCAATAGGCTGATGTCCTGAATCCTGCCCTTTAGACCATCACAGAAAGTGTTAGGAAGAAAAGAGAAAAAGATGTGGAGGGAGGCACAGAGTGAAAACGAGAAGGACTGAGAAGCAAAACAGGATTACCCAATCACTCTGGAATTACACAGTCTTTCTAAAAATAATTTGACCAAGGAAAATAATGATTTTTGCCAAACGAGAAGCAAGGAGAGCTGGCTGCATTCACTTTGGAAGCTATGGATGGCCAGGAGGTTGGGAAGCCTTGAAATCAAAACCACAAGTGGAAACATTACTAGTCTTCTATTTTACTACCTTTCTCTTTTTCCTCTTCTTCTGTAAGACATACCCATCATTCGAGACCTAAGACTCCAGCCTACATTTCTTTATTACTCTTCTGTGAATTCCTTTTACTGTTAGTATTCCATAGGTCTTCACTTAAATGTTTTTTTCATGTGATCATCTCCTCTTTAGTTTGTCACCTTGAAGACCCTTCTAATGCCTCCCCCTACCCCCTTCCTTTCTTCTTTCTTTTTACTGACTCTGATCTCTCCATCCTTCAACTAACAGACATTTCTAGAACATCTGTTGTGCCAGGTGATATTAGTGGAAGGGGACACGGAGATAAAGAAGACGTCTTATCTGGAATGTTGCATGTTATAGCCAGTAAACCTCTCTTTGGCTAATCATTATCTATTGCAAATGTCCCTTTCCAACAAGTGTCTCCCTACGAATAGCTGCTATGGACATTCTAGAACATGCCTTTTGATGAATCCGTTATAAGCCTTTCTGCTACCTCTACATCTAGATGGGGGATTGATGGGTCATATGCAGTTTCCTAAAGTGGTAATCCCAATCCACACACCCATCAGCAGCGTTTGAAATTTCTGTTGCTCTGTCTCTCTATCCACATGCCCAAAAGCAGTCGAAGAGAGAAATGCAGTAGTTATATTGACACAGTCAAATACTTTGCAATGAGAGTGAATGATCCACAGCTATAAGCAAAAAATGAGGATGGATATCAAAAACATAATATGGAATGAAAGAAGCCAGACACAAAAGGATGTGATTCCATTTATATAAAGTGCAAAACCAGCCAAAAAGAAATGCAGGTTGTTTGAAGTCAGAATAATGGTTCCCTTTGTGGGCCTGGCTCTGGAAAGGGGCATGAGAGGGGCTTTTGGGATGCTGCTAAAGGGAGAAGGTTCTATTTCTTGATTCGAGTGCCGACTGCAGAGGCCTGGACAGTTTGTTGAGATTCAGCAACCGGTTCATACGCATGAACACTTTTCTATATATTTTATTCTTTAATAGACAGCTTTTTAAAGATTAAACACTTTCTTTTCTGTTTCTCCAACAGCTATACTAAGCTTAAGCTGCAAGTCACTCCAGAAGGGCGCATTCCTCTCAAAAAGTAAGCTACGGGAGCATTTCCCAGTCAGTGTTCATGTTCTTTTCTCAAAGATTTGACTCTGTGCCATGGCTCTGTTTTGTTTCCCCACTGGCCCAAGTGGGAGCCTGAGAATGCATGGTAACCCCGTTCTCCCTCACGCCCCATGTTCACATCAATGCAGCTGGTTTCCTCAGAGATTTTACTGTGGCATCATTTTCAAGAAAAACAAAGCAGGAAGAGGGGGGAAGGGGTGGGGGAAACTTACTGTTAAACCCAAAAGGCCTTTAAGATTCAGATCTGTTCTAGGAATGGCAATTGGGCGACTTCAGTGTCTCTTTCTACCAAGATGATGCTAGCCTTGAAGGAGGGGCTGCAAACTCAAATGTCAACAGAAACCGGTCAGGGAATTTAGGGGATGAAGCAAGCCAGGAGCCCGAAGAACTGGAGTGAAACCCCATCTGGAGGAGACAATGACAATTCAACTCTACCACAATCCTTGTGGGACTGGTGGGCTCTGGACGCTAGATTTTGTCATGTTTTGATAGAACCCATAAATTCAAATTCTTATATTCAATTCTATTTTTAATATAATACTTAAACTCTATTTGTCAATAAATTGACCACTTTTTTATTGAAGTATAGCTGATACACATAAATTTTCTTTTTTAGAATGCATCCTTAATCTTTACCCTTTGACCTACTAGCTACTTGTAGGCTCCTGTTCATTGCAATATTAAATTATTATTAATAATAGTAGTAATTACTTGTTTCTTCATAATGTCAATAATGTAAACCTTTAGAGCAATAGGTAGCAGCAAGGAGACCGAGTTATCAAGGATGTATTTTAGTGCTTACTCTTAGAGGCTATTTAGGACAATGTTTTTTAATTGGGTCATCACCTTTGCCTCAAGATGTTGATTTTATATTAAACATCTTCATTTTAAAAAGCACATACATAGATCTTTTAGAACCTATATGCAGATGCATGGAACAGTGGATATCTTGAATGACAAAAGGGTTTGATTCAATGGGATACTGTCGGTTGGTATCATCTATAAACCTATGATCCATAACTCACTGTTGTGATTTCACTTCACAGCATATACCGCTTGTTCTCAGCAGACCGGAAGCGAGTCGAAACTGCTTTAGAGGCTTGTAGTCTTCCATCTTCAAGGGTGAGCATGTTGCTTTTCTAAAATTAGCACTACTAAATAGCTGTGAATAATTATACTGAAATATAACTTGCCCCCATATTACCCAAACACTTTTTTATATTAAGAAGACCATAGGACTCACTTGTTAATATTTACAATGTATGGGGCCACCATAATTATATTTTCTTTCATTCCCATAAACCCAATATGTTGATCTAGAAAGACCCTTGTTCTTTGTAAATAATGATTTTTAAGAACCATCTAATATAAAAAGGTATTGACCAAAATGTATTATTGTTAAGAATTTAAACTTCTCCTTAATAACAAATCCTTTGTTGATGTCCCTGGAGATGTTAGCTAATAATTATGGATTATGGTTAGGAAGATATTTGAAATATCCATTTCATCGCATTCCATCCTTTTTAAATGTCTAGTTTTAAGAGGTATAAGTTAATACGCAATTAACATGGTAACACATGTTTAGACATAACTATGTTGACATACTCTGCAGGGCTGTGCTCACAAAGTTTTTGCTGGGAGGAGTGCAGGCTCAGTTTGGAGACCCCCTACTTTGCTCATATTGTGGTAAAGTGGATGAGAGGAAAACCACGTATCATGCTTTTTTTTTAGGCCCAACACATTGGAGGCACCCATGTATGTTGCCCACACAAATTAATTTGCCTTCATTTCAATGCATTTCTATATAACTGCCTCTAAAATTATTTGTTACCGTCGTTTCTAGGAGATCGGAGTCTGTTGTATAAAACATTTTTCTCAGGCTATATGCAGAACTCGTCTCTCCATTGCAAATTATTTTTATCCCAGTATCTAAGCAACAAGTAAGCTCTTTCCCAAGGATAACACTTATACTATAGGGAGAAACTTTGAGCCTCTTGGAACACTCTGGCAATGTTCAAGTTGCATTGAATGAAGTTAAGAAGCCATTGCTAAACTTATCATTAGTTTATGAAAAAGTATTGAGTGCTATTACTAAATTTGTCAGCCCATTTTTGTTGTGAATACTTTTCAGAAAAGTGAAGTTTATTAAGGACTTTGGTAGGTAACGGAGAGAAATGAAAGAGTTCTCCCCCACTCTGAGTTTCCTGTTATAGGTAGAAAAGGCTGGTGATGCTGCCAACACTGGACAGAGCCACAGAGAGGCTCCCCCAAACAATTTAACCTTCACTTTCATAAGCAAAATAAAATGACCAAACTTATTATTGCTCTTTCTTAGATGCTCTGGGGTAGGATAGATATGCCAGTTAAGGTCCCATTGTTTGCTCAACAAATATTTCTTGAGCTCTTACTCAGGCACTGAGAATGGGGTAGTGAACAAAATATAGTCCCAAGATTCAAGGACCACAGAGTTTCTGCGGGCTCTCCTCAAACATGTGGACCAACACAAGTGTAAATGGGGGGTGGGGTGGGGAGTGGTGCCATGAGCAAAAGGAGTAGAGTGCTGCCATTGTGAATAAGAGAGGGTCATTCCAGAAAAAGAAAACAATGTGTGCAAAGCCCTGAGGCTGGAAAGAATTTACTGGTCTGAGTAACAAAAAAAACTCTGCATTTAAGCATAAAAAGAAAGCTTGAGAGATGAATTTAGAAAGACATGAAAAGAATATTTTTCCTCTGCAATTCCTCCTGATTTTACCTTTACTGGATAACATCTTATGACTATAATGACCAAAAATTTTAACCTATTATAAATCTAGCTAAGGGAAAGAAAGAATAGAAAATGAAGCTGACTAGAAAATCAAATCCATCAACCAATTCTCTGTAAATGGCAATTTTCTAAACAATTGGATTCTGACAATTCAGTCAATAAATATAAATTGAGTTTTTACAATCCACTATGTCTATTACAGGTTCATGCTTTCAGACCAATATCAACTGGAGACATTCTTAAAAGAAAATAAGATTCAAATAACAGGAGTTATGTTTAAATTGAAAAAAAAAATTATCTTTAGTAATTTAGATGTTATAATTTTCTGAAAACAAATTGGAGATTTTTAAAAGAACAGAATCAACCTCCATCATGAAGTCTTGAAAGATCATTATTCATAGTAAAGTATACTTTACTTGGAGGACTGACGATTTGTAGAATTAGGATGCTTTCTAAAGATCTAAAAACCAAAGATAATTTCAGGGCTAGGAAGTAAATGTTTCCCTAAACTGCCTGTATTTTAAATCCGTGTTGTAATTTCAAATCTACAGAACAGAGGTTCTAGAAAGTATCCACTAATTAGGAAAAAGATTCTGAATACACTGACAAGAGGTGTTTTAAACACTACACAGAAGAAAAGGTTACATAAATGGTAGATAGCGCTGTATATCTGGGAGCCTCATTTCATAGCCAGTGGTCGTTCAGACTAGATTGAATTGTGTTCTGTAAATAGATACATTACCAGAAACACAGTGGATATCCTGTTGAGATTTTTTAAACATTATCTTTGTGCACATTGTTAGGGATAATTAATGCACTTGAAGTTGTATCCTGGCCAACACGATCTGCTGGAATAACACATTCCTTTAGAGGGTACTCCTTTAGAGATTACAGTTGCTTGCCAAAGTTACCTTAATTGTTAAAAAGTAGCACTGTATCTAAAAAGAGAGAAAAAGCAATTACTGTCCTTCTATTAATAATCCAAACATATTTTCCAGGGAGACCTTCGGAGACCTTTCCATATTCAGAAAATTACCATTTTACCCACAAATTTTCTGAGAACTGAAAGTAGTTTACTTGTACCAAATTGCCTTTGATTTCAGGCTTATTAACTTGAAAATAGCTCAGTGACATTTGGAGTTGTGTTATAGTATTACATAGCACTGGCACTTTAATGAACAAGATAGGAATGAATCCATGGACAGTTGACCCCAGAACAACACAGATTTTTAAATCGCACAGGTCCACTTATATGTGGATTTTTTCAGTAAACACAGTACAGTACTGTAAATGTATTTTCTCTTCCTTATGATTTTCTTAATAACATTTTCTTTTCTCTAGGCTATGTTATTCTAAGAATACCATATAGAATATATATAATATACAAAATCTGTGTTAATCGACTACTGATGTTATCAGTAAGGCTCCCAATCAACAGTAGGCTATTAGTAAAGTTTTTGAGGAATCAAAAGTTATACATAGATTTTTGACTGTTTGGCAGAGGGTCAGCACCCCCAAACCTCTGCATTGTTCAAGGGTCAGGTGTATTTGCTTTAAATAATAAGGTTTATTATAGTTATGAACTTATATTTAATACCAAGGAAAACAGTGATTATTCTGGATTTAAAGAATACCATAGGGGCGCCTGGGTGGCTCAGTCGTTAAGCATCTGTCTTCGGCTCAGATCATGGTCCCGGGGTCCTGGGATCGAGCCCCGCGTCGGGCTCCCTGCTCAGAGGAAGTCCGCTTCTCCCTCTCCCTCTTCCCCTGCATGTGTTCCCTCTCTCACTGTGCCTCTCTCTCAAATAAATAAACAAAATCTTTAAAAAAAAAAAAAAAAGAATACCATAGAGGGCACCTGGATGGCTCAGTTGGTTAAGCACCCAACTCTTGGTTTCTGCTCAGGTCATGATTTCAGGGTCGTGAGATCGAGCCCTCCATCAGGCCCTGCGCTCAGCACAGAGTCTGCTTGAGATTCTCTCTCTCTCTCTCCCCCTCTGTCTCTCTCCCTGCTTATGCTCTCTCTCTCTCAAATACATAAATAAATAAATAAAATATTTTTTAAAAAGAGTACCACAAATTTTACTGAGGAATACAATAAATAAAATGTAAAAAAACTTCTCCCAGGATGACTATAATATATTGCCTTTCTCCTATGCCATACACCCAGAATATAAATCAGAAATACAATCATTTATGTAACTGTGACTCCTAACATCACTAATATCAAAATTCTGTCTTTAAACCACACTAAGAATTTGGTGTATTATGAGTAATTTACTTGTAATTATTTCATGTACTCTATGGCCAACTCAATTTTGCCTTACAGATTTAGAACAAAAATACTGAGAATAAGTTGATGTGAACATTTAGTTTGTTGGATTATGTGTGAGTAATGGAATCAAACAACCTAGATTCAAAGCCATAGCAGCTCCATACACAAACACTTGGGACCTTAGACAAGTTTTATAAGCTGCCATGTCCCTAGTGTTTGCATCTGAAAAGGATCACAACCACATAAAGTTGACAAGGGATCAAATGAAAACATGTAAGTAAAGCTCCGCATATCTGGCACACAGTAAGTGCTCAGTAAATCTTAATTATTTTCCTCTGAGTATTTTTCATTTGCATATATGTGGGGTTTTTTTCTCTTTCTTATTTTTAATTTAGCATATGGATATGTCATAACTAGGTCTATGGAATCTGGAAATACAAATGCCATTGGTACTACCATCAAATTTTAAAAGAATCTTTTCCCTTTTGGGATTCTTTGTATCCAAGCATGGAATTGAAGTAACTTCATTTTTAAAGTTTGCCAATACTTTGCAGTTTCTGGAATAAATGAGCCCAATTCAGACTATAATACCCTTCTTAATTGTCCCTACAAAAATTTCTGATAACAATAGCAACAAATAATCACCGATGATCTGTTTTGTATTGGAAGCATGATGTGGTGAGCCAAGTCTTAGACTATAAGACAAAAAACCTTAGGTCAGGTCCCATGTCCTGGGTTCACCAGCAGACGTTGATTGGGTCACTATTATATGCCTGGCAGCATGTTTGTGACACAAAGGAATTTAAGAAGAGATAGTCACTTCACTCAAAAACTCACAGTCTAGTAGAAAATCAGAAATATAAAAAATATGGGGGGAACTGTGTAATAGATGTTATAATAAAAGTATATAAATGCCGATTCTGAGCACAAAAGAAGACTGTGCCATCTTTAGCTAGTGTGGTCAGAAAGGATTACAGAAGAGTATTTGAACATTGAGTATGATCTTTAGAGTGTTGGATTGGGGGTTTCCTCCTGCTCAGATAGGATACAATGAATCTGTTCCATCCACTTCACCAAATCATGAGATCCAGGAAATGAAAATATTTAAATGAGATTTGTGAATTTCAGCCTTGTTTAAGATGTAAGGAATTAGGACTTGTCAATAGATTTTCCACAAATACCTCCCCTATACCCTTTAAGTTCAGCTTTCAATGATGCTCATTTTAACTCATGTCTCCAAAGATATTTCTTCTCCTATTTTCCTACACTGACCCCAAAGGCTTTAGGATAGCCTCATCAGTCAAGTTGGGCAAAGAAAAATGAGACAAAGAAAATCAGCTGTATTGAAGTGGTTTATTTTCTATGTGCTAACATCTAACTGGCAATGAAAATAATATTGTGTTTATTTAGATTATCTCATTAATTTTTCCTCTTTAATAAGAAGTCCTAATTCACAGCTGGTAAATAACCAACAGAGTTTTAGGAAAGCATACTGTTCTATGAAATTATGTATATGGAATCTTATATAAATGACTTCAGTTGAATCTGATATCCTATGGGAATTCTGTCCTATCAACTTCCACCTTTCTCATAAATTACATTTATTTATTTCGTAAATATTTATTGTGGACTTACTGTATGTTACACACTGGAGATCTAGAAGTTAACAAGCAACACACAGGTCCTAGCTTGTGTAGTTCTGCGTGTTAGCAAGAAACAGAACCATACAACTGGGAGCACAATACAATTAGAGTGTTGAAATACCACACCAGTGAAATGTAACAGTAGCCCAGAATGGAAGACAAAACCCAGTTCAGGAAGAAGAGGTTTTAAACTAACACAAGAAGAGAGAAAAAAATAAAAGCTTAGTAAGACCCATGTATAATGATCCTACATTGGACCACTGCTAGGTAATGGACCCTGCTATGTATAGTGCTACACGTGTTGTTTGGTTATCTCAAAATTCTGTTTTGCAAAATAGACTTTAGTCCTGCTCTATAAATGGATTTAGTAAAGGAAATATTATTTTATTCATTCATTCCACAAATATGAGACTCCTGCTGTTTGCCAAGTGGTGAGTTAATTTCTCTTATCTGTTAGCAGGCAGGATACAATTTCAGAGAACAATTTTAGGTATTTCTATAAAAGTACCTTTCAAAACATATGCATATGGTAAAAGGAAGGGTTTTTTTGTTTGTTTGTTTAAGGGCTTGAAAATAAAAATAATTATATAAACACATACCTGAAATAGGAAAACAGCATGAAGAATGTCTTTCCTGTTAACAAAGGCTTGAATACATGCTTCCGGTTTCCATGGCAGCCCGACTAAACAGAAAAATAAGTCACAGAAATGACTTTTTATATCAATGACTTGCTTCCCAAACAGTAAGACCAAGAGGAATCAGTGAGAAATAATGACTAGTGCTGTCCTACTTACAAAAACTGTTCTACAATTTATCAGATTACTTAACCCACAAGGAACATTGTTTGGGAAAAAAAAAAAAAAAAAAAAGGATACAAAATTTGAATTTATGTTTTCATTTTGAAATGTCTATTTCCAGGTCCTTTGCTCTTTTAAAAAAATCATTCAAACATCTGCTAAATAGCACATAAATAATGTGAAAATTCTTCATGCCACTGTACACTGAAAAATCGTTAAAATGGTCAATTTTATGGTATGTGTATTTTATAACGACTGTTTAAAAAGATTAAGACTAAAAAAGAAAAAAACAACCTAAAAGAAATCTGCTATACAGACCCTGGTTTTGCTAGGTCTAACTTACTTAGTAAATATACTTTAAAAACCGCTTTAACATCCCTTTAGACGCAGAAAACTCTTAAGCTTAAATGATAATGAAAAAGCAACAGAAAGTACGGCTTTTGATTCCTCAAAGCCAGTGTCCAAATGAACTCTACAGCTGGCCTCATAGATGTTTTCTGAATGTTTACCCTGACCTCCTGGAGAAAGAGGAAGGGAGAGAGAGACATGAAAAGGAGAGGGGGTAAGCTAGGGAAAGAAAAAGACATTTCACTGACCCTGTTGCTTTATTTCCCAGAACGATTCAATACCTCAAGAAGATTTCACTCCAGAAGTGTACAGAGTTTTCCTGAACAACCTTTGCCCTCGACCTGAAATTGATAACATCTTTTCCGAATTGTAAGAGAACAACACAGCATTTTAACCCACTCTTTTTCAGCTTGCAGGGGTGCTCGGGGTGGCTCTGGCAGGATTTTGAGCAATAGAGGGAGACAGAACTCTTTGGGCACTGTGAATGACAACAATGCTTCTGTGTCATTTGTTGGAGACCATCAACATTCCTACCCGTGAGGTTCAACCACTGCTTTTAATGAGTGGATGTTTGCTATGATTTGTTGCTGGGTGTTGGTGTTTTAGTATCCCCGGGGGGCTCTGTGTGGTTTGAAGATTATGGCTAGAGTAGAGCATCTTGGGTCCATGGAGGTAGACTCATGCAAGATGCAGGAAGAACTCTGACCAGGGGACCAGTCAGGTTATGTCTCGGACACGCATTAGTGAAATGGAAACTCTGGATTGCTAAGAACCCTCCCAGCTGAAAGTCATTTGCTTTTATTTTAGAAAATATATAGACATTCCTTTGGAAAAAAAAAAAAAAAAGAATGAGAAAAAGAAAAGAAACAAACCAAAACACCAGGGCAAATGCAGGGCAGTAGCAATTCACCTTTCCTAGTTCACTGAAATCTACATGATGACAGAAAATCAATCCAAAATATATCAACAAAATAAGGATTTTTTATGTGGAAGACAGGCCAACAGTGCTAAGAATGACACTGGATATACCCACTTTGTGATGCTCATTGCTATCAACAATGTATTGAGCATCAGCAGTAATTGTACCATTGAACTTGTTTTTGGGTTGTCAGGCTTGAAACGGGAAGCTTGGATCACACTATGTTGAAGACTTACAGATTTTTGCTGAAGCATAACTTTAATGAAAAGAAAAATGTACCCAGGTTGTTTACTTTTTTTTGGTAATGAGTAATGAATACATCTCTAAATGATTAAGTGGGATATGGGAATTTGATGACTAAACCAGAAGGTTAGTGTCATAATCAAAAACAACCTATACGTCTGTGTTCAATTGAGAGTGGTGCATCTTTACACACAAGATGCGAAGTTTTCCTACTGTGGATTCTCTTATGCATCTGGTATACTTCAAGGGCATTGGGATTTAGTGGCAGGGATTGCAAAAGATATTTGCATCCCATAGAATGCAGCAACTGTGATGGGGTAACACATGTTTTCAGGATAAGATAGGAATGTCCAGATATCTAGCATGCACTTACCAGGTGTGGCAATATTGTTTCTCTGTAGTTAAATGCAAATATATGAATGAGACTTGGTGGACAAATATTCTAATTTCTGGTTTTTAATTGGTTTTAGTGGTGCCAAAAGCAAACCATACCTTACCGTCGATCAGATGATGGACTTTATCAACCTTAAGCAGCGAGATCCCCGGCTAAATGAAATCCTTTACCCACCTTTAAAACAGGAACAAGTCCAAGTATTGATTGAGAAGTATGAACCCAACAGTAGCCTCGCCAAAAAAGGTCAGTCCACTTTGCCCCACACTGTAGGGAAGCTATGGTTTCTAATTGTGAATGGGTCACCCCCTGGTAAGTATCGACATCAAGGATTGTTTAGGTCTATTTCCCACATTTGTATGCCTGCTTTCCTTTCTGTCTTAAATCACTAGTGGTTCAGTTAGACTTCGGCATGTGATTTTGTTGTTGTTGTTGTTATGTGTGTGTATGCATATAACATTTTTTTTTAAATGTCTAATCATTTGTTTTCTCTTAAATTTACCCAGTGACTGAATGCATATTTCTCATACAGGAAATTCCCTATCTTAAAAGTTGCCTTTTTGGGGGCAACTGGGTGGCTCAGTCAGTTAAGCGTCCAACTCTTCTTGATTTTGGCTCAGGTCATGATCTCAGGGTTGTGGGATCAAGCCCCATGTTGGGCTCCATGCTGGGTATTAAGCCTGCTTGAGATTCTCTCTCTCTCTCTCAAAAAAAAGGGAAGATGTAAAGTTTGCCTTTTTGTCTCTGTTTCTAGAAGTTCTGTAAAATGACCCACAACTTTTTCTAAATCTCTAAAACCAAAGAGAGTATTTAATCCATTAGATCCTTATTTTATTCTAGTTTACACTATTGATGAATTTTTCCACTTGGGAAAATATAAAATTTGGCCTTTTATATGTAAAAAAAAAAAATCAGTGTTTCTAGAAAATATTATTAGTCTAAAAACTAATAACAGAAAGACAGCTCTCAGTTGCCTGGAAGTTATTAGGAAATTTACGTTTTTGATTCTGGAGAAATGAATTGCCAAAATAAGATCATGATGATTTACTTGCTAGAAGTTTTCAATCATACGTGGCATCACATCCCTGAATTGGCTCTTCAGCTTCCTCTTTACTAAAGACCATGTCTCACTTGGAGTGAAATATCTTCATTGAGAAAACTGGTGTCTTATCACTGATGTTATTGTAAATTGCCTAGATATTGCACAGGGAGGAAAATAAAGTGCAACTAACCAATCATTAAGAAAAAATAAATTGTGTGTTAATATGCAGGCAGGTCATAAGTAACAGAAATAGCTCTAGCAAGCTCATCATCATTTATAAGTATGGTTATCATAAAAGTAGATTAACACATCTTTTAACCCATTGTATTTATTCTGGAACCAGTCGTCTAAATGAAAAAAAAAAATGAATCTATCAAGTATAAAAGTAAAATATTACCATTAACTTTATCATACATGTTTTTAGTTGGAAATTTACAGATGAAATTTTTTGGATTTTATTCATTTTCATGGTCAAGGGCTTTGCCTTTGTTGTCATCATCATCCTTATTGCTGCCGTGGAGATGAGGTCAGTCAAAGGAAATGGACGACCCAATGGTGTGTGTTGGCATTGTCAGGCCCACCCCCCTGACACCCTTCCATTCCCAGCGCCACGGAGATGGTATTTCTCCTTAGGGTTATGCAGGGAGTAACTCCTTGCAGATTTTACTGGGGCAACTTGAAATCTGAACTTCACCACAAATAACTAACAGTGTTATAACAAATCCAACAAGACCTCTAAAAACAGTCCATGACTCAAAGGAAACAAATAGCTTTTGTGAAACCAGTGAGGCACTTCAGAGCCTAAACTTTGCCCCTCCCTCCACTTTTCACGCCACACTGTGGACGGTCCATGCCTAAGCCGGAATATGACACCTCCATCCATCATACTCTGACCACCTGAAGGCAGTAGAGGATACAAAGAGAGAAATTTGTGATACATTATTGTAACACTCTATAACCCTGGCAGAACCCATTTTGATTCTAATGGAAATTAAGATGATATCTCTTAGCATTTGCAAATTTATTTAATGCCATCTTATAGATATACTAGGTATGAATTTCATAATCACAGCAGGCACACAAATTTCAGGTACGTTTAGAATACCAATTTCAGGGGCGCCTGGGTGGCTCAGTCAGTTTAGCATCTGCCTTCGGTTCAGGTCATGATCCCAGAGTCCTGGGGTCTGACATCAGGCTCCCTGCTCAGTGGGGAGTCTGCTTCTCCCTCTGCCTTTCCCTTTGACTTGTGCTCTCTCGCTTGCTCTCTCTCGCTCTCTCTCTCTCTCAAATAAATAAATAGAATCTTTTAAAAAATTAAATAAATAAATAAAATACCAATTTTATTTATTTTTCTACAACTTAATATGATATTGATGATAAGCCTCCATGTTGGCCCTGATGTGATTTTTTTTAAATCACAGATTTCATTTCTTAACCCAAAAACTCTTGAAAGAAAATGAACTTGAGAGTCATTTTGTTTGCTGCTTTGGGTCTGTTTATGTGAGCAAAGATACTAAAGAAAAGTGTTTTATTGTGTTGACTGTTATTTCATTGTCAAAAGGATAACGATTTTGAAATCTTTCTTTGTAGGACTAAGAAATTGCTGGGTTAAACCTCAATTTGCTAGTAATTATGAGTTTTAATAATTTTTTTATCCAAAGATGAAAATCAGTTTTTGAATTTGGTTTTGCTGTTCACATTTGATGTTTGACTTTAGGATTTTTTCAAAAACTCTCTTTTGTATCTTCTCTAATTATAACTACAAGTAAAATCAAACAAAGTACAATTTAAGAAAGTATTCTTTAATTTCAATATGACAAATGGTATGGATTTGCAAGGAAATTAACTTTCATTCATTATGTGACTTTCAAAATGTACATTATCATTTTGTAAAGAAGCAAACCAAAATTTTGAGGTCAAATCACTTACCTGAAGTCTCATACCAAGGTGCTCTTTGAGAAAACAGTTTTTAACTTTCAGCCAACTAGTTAATACATTTTGATTAATAAATACAAAATGAAATAAGTAGGCTATTACTAGGATATAATAAGTATTTTACAGTGTAATATTCTTATATTAATAAATATACTTAGAATAAATAAGATAGAAATCAGTATATTACATAATTTTTTCTGCTACTTTCATTTTGACTAGTTCCTCAAGTGTGCAAAGCATTGGGTTATATTGACCCACGAATTCAATTTCAGTTATCTGAAAAAGACACTTCCATATTGCCTCTGTTATAAAATGCTAAGAATAAGATACATCCATAATGTATATATATAATAATATAGCTAAATCCTCTGATATCAAGAAACTTATTTTTTAAAGTAGGTGTTAAACAAACTTTACACAAAGTTGCCATATGCTAATGTTTAGTTTTCATATGCACTTTACATAATTTTTACATAGGGGGTAATCTAAAATTAAATGAAAAATTTTCAATATGGCCAAACGCCTAAATGCTTAAACTGACCATAGGTTAGTCAACTAAACATAGATGTGTGAAATGAAAATCCAGAAGGGATGATAGACTTTGATGCTTTGTGGGCCTGCTGTCATCGGCAGGTTGGCCACATTTCCATGCTGGAATTTCTGTTTCTGAAGCTGTATGTATCGGTTATAAATAATCACAGGGTTTCTGTGCAGTGTAAGGGCCAAATGTGCACATTTGGGCTCCATAAAGAAAAAGTTTAAATCTTGTTGCAGAAAATACTATTCTCAATGGAGTTTGATTTATTTTTATGATTGAAAAATCACACATTGCAAAATACTTTGGTCCATCATGTTGTTTGCACTGGGAAAAATGCATAATGCTAAACCATATTTAACACAGGAATACACAATGACCCCGGCCTCTTCCAAACCAAAGGGTCCTGAATGTCAGTTTGAAGACTAATGTCTCCCAAACAGAGTTTGTTTGGTTTTTTTAATCACTTACACCTTTGAGAAGGAAGGCAATGAGTAAAATTAGCATGAAAAAGAATAAATTGATGCCTTAGTTAACAGACTACAGATTAGATTGAACTCTTCTGTCTGAAAAAGAAGGCCAAAATTCATTCTTAAAAAACCAAACCCAGAGAAGACATTTGAGTCTGATCACATTTTTATTTTTCTGTGAAGAGCAGGTGTTCATGAGGATTTGTTAAGCAATTGAATTAATATAGCAGATTATGATATTAGCAGATGTTTCAAGCTATATTCCTTTTTTTTTTTATCAGTTCTTCCTCTTAAATTTTTAAAAGGTGTGTTGTACAAAAGCTTCCCCACTTTGTTGCAATTAAATCATCAAGATGAAACTGTATCATCTCTTTTAGTATTTGATCAGTACTCAATGAATTAATAAATAGTTGAACTCAAAATACAATAGCAAATTGTTTTGGTTTTAAGCAAAGCAAATAGAAGTTGAGGTATAGCAAGCATTTTTGCTTCAAATAGACCTATGCTAATCATTACATCAGTAGAAAAGCCTATTGCTTTTTCAAGATCTATATTTTAAATACTTATACAATTGAACTATATTATACCATTACTGTCAATGGCAAGACACAGAGTGTGCTAGAGACAGCACTGGACTTGAGAGTCTTGCCAACTGTACTATTAGGTGATACTCCTTCAGTAGAAAAAGGACAGAAGCGTAACTCAAACTGAAGCACAGAAAGAAATGTATTGGTGCATATGAGCAAAAAGTCAGGGAGTGTTTTGTGTTGGTCTCAGCTTACCAATAACCAATGTTGTTAGACCGACCCTTGTGGTTCTTATTATGATTGCAAGATGCCCTTCATCAACCACCATGTAACTTGGAAAAAAATAGATGTTTATTACTTATAAGACCTGGAAACTACTCAGCGCACCTGGGGTCACACAGCGAGGTCACTTGTAGAGAGAGAAAGAGAAAGGGAACACGCTCACAAGCCTGGGTTCTGTTTTTTTTTTTTTTTTTTTAAGATTTTATTTATTTATTCATGAGAGATAGAGAGAGAGAGGCAGAGGCAGAGGGAGAAGCAGACTCCCCGCCGAGCAGGGAGCCCGGTGCGGGACTCGATCCCAGGACCCTGGGATCATGACCTGAGCTGAAGGCAGACGCTTAACCAGGCGTCCCTGGGTTCGGTTTTTATAGGGTTTTGAGGGGTGCGTGTTTAGGGTTTCATGGAATCACTCTTTATTGGTGAAACATAAAAACATAAGAGCAGGAAGAGAGAAG